AGTTCTCTCCTCCCCATTGTGGGGAGAAATGAAGTACGGTATTTGCAGCCACTCAAAATAAGTGTGAATTGTGCATTTAAAATGGCACTCCAAGCTCCGTGGATGCAGGCAGCTGCGTGACGGAGGACAGCACTAGCTTGCGCAGGTGGAAGATTCAATTCAATTCAGTTTATTTATATAGCACCAAATCACAACAAGTTGTCTCAGGGACTTTACAGGAACATTCACATAAAAACCAATTAGTAAAGTTCTCTATCTAAGGAATCCAGCAGACAAGTTGAATCTTGGCTTCGTTGCAGTCTCCCATCCTGAGCAAGCACAGTGGAGACAGTGGGAAGAAAAACTCCCTTTAACAGGAAGAAACCTCCAGAAGAACCAGCTCAGGACAAGAGACCATCTGCTTTGACCGGCTAGAAGTTTCTCCTGCAGTGTGGGCTGCACAAATGTGCAGCAGGTGCTAAATAATTTTAAATAATTCATTTTAAATAAAAAATCCATGCGGCTCATCCATCAATCAGCCAGTTGTGTGTCATGTCTAGCCTTATTTTGAAAAACCGCGATAGAGGGAGTCCGTGAAAAACGAACCACGAAGTAGCGAGGGACTACTGTGCATGTAAACTTAGATGGTCTGTGTTTTAGCAACATATCTCAAGAACAGCTTGTTGCATTTGGTTGAAACTCACTGAAAGTAATCATCACATGTATCTCTAGAACTGTTTGACTTTTGGAGCCATTTTGATTTAAGGTGGCTGCCACAGCTAAATCAGCAAACACAAAATTGACTCTAACTCAGTCAATCTTTGAGATATTGAGCTGAAATTATGGTATAGCTGACAGTGAGTTGTTATGCAATCCTAATGCAAATAAAATATCCAAGATGTCTGCCTTAGCTAAAAGAGAACAAAATATGATAACTCAGCCATTTTTAGAGCTATTCAGCTGAAATTTGGCGTATTGGTTTGAGAACAATCCCTAATAGACACTGACTGAAAATCAAAAGTCCAAGGAGGCTACTTGAGCTAACAAGGAAAAATACTATCAACCAGCCTATTCTAAAGTAGGCAGTCACAGTCTCCCATCCTGAGCAAGCACAATGGCAACAGTAGAAAGGAAAAACTCCAGAACCATTGAACTGAAACTTGGCATGATGATGGCTGAGAATGTTTCCTATCGAATGCTGCATCAAATTCAAAAATCCAAGATGGCCACCAACACTACTTTTAAATGGCTTTAACTCAGCCATTTTTACACATAGAGCTGAAATTTAGCGCAGTTGTAGCTGAGAATGTTCTCTATCACATACTAAATCCAAATCTAAAATCCAAGATGGCTTTCTTCGCTAAAAATGAAAAAATATGATAACTCAGCCATTTTTAGAGCTATTCAGCTGAAATTTGGCATAGTGGTAGCTGAGAGCAAACCTCAACACATAGTACTGTGAAATCAAATTTTTAAATTGGCAGCAACCTGGCAGTCCCTGTCAAAGTTTCTCCAGGAACTTTCTAGTTTATTTTTACCAGCCATGTTACAGGCACTGTTCAGAGAAAAACATGTGCTGTATGTATTTGTGTATGTTACTGGTACGTATTTAATCAAAAGTAAAAGAAAATATTTGGGTAAATCTCTCATTCTACAATATAGACACCTGCAGCATATAGACAAATGTGGCCTATTATGTACAACATTATTATTTTTTAATGTAGTGGGTGCAGCTTATCGAGGTGCGCTCAATCCGAATATTACAGTAAGTTCATGTTCAAACTCAAAATTTGACATTGACTCATGGGCACAAATGAGTAAAATAATGTTTGAACATACACCCTCATGGATTAAAGAAATGAAGAACTCAGCACTTGGACTCTTCCTCCATGAAGCCGTGCTGTTGTCATGGGTGCAGGATGTGCTTTAGTATTGTCTTGCTGAAATTTGTGCACATTTTTTTGCATTAATGGTACTTTTCCAGAAGTGTAAGCTGCATTTGCTCCATTTGCACTAATGCACCCCCATACCATCTATTAAGGTGAAAATAGCCTACTGCACATGTGCCAACGGTTACTGGAAAGGGGAAAAAGTGGGAGACAGGTGCAGTATTTGTTTTTTAAACTTTATTTGTTATTATTTTTATAATTTTTTTGAAATAGACATACATTAAACATTCAGACCCTAACTTAAAAAAAGTCTAGAGCAACAAGTATGACAAAAGTATATAAATTATATGTAAAAAAAAAGTTAAGTCTGGTCCTCTGGACATTCAAAAAACAAAACAAAGCAAAACAACAACAACAAAAAAAATATAGAAACATTTCGTCTCTCATCCGAGAGACTTCCTCAGTCTGAGGTGCTGTATTCAGTTCAGTCTCTTAAATAGCACCTTCTCAGGGTGGATCAACCAGTTTGCTGCTGACAACCAGAACCAGCTGCTCACATGATCAAGAAGGACCATCAGCCTAACAATGGATCATTAGCACCTGATGGCTGTTTACTACTCACAGAGGGCTGAGTGATACTAGCAATCACAGCATTGTAAGAGGGGGACAATTGAACACGTAGGCTTTTTTGTTGTTGTTGTTAAGGTTGCACGGGGAACCCAGATGTTATGAGACCCAGAACGAGGCAGACGCAGGGGAAGTACAAAAGAACAGTGTTTATTATTTACAGTGATATTATTAAAGTCCACACGCTGCTTCTCAGCGGTTCCTGGAAAGAGGGACGACAGGTTATTGTTTGTCCAACGGGGAGACCAGAGTGGTTAGATTAAAGAGCGTCTTGTCCTTACAGTCCAAACCCGAAGGAGGTGAGCTGTTCCTTCAGTCCAAGGAGTGAGCAGCAGAGGGAAATCCAACAGGGGTCCAAAAGGAAACGAGGAAGGCTGGCAACTGGAGGCAAAGAGACACGAGGTAAACCTTACAGGCCGAGGGATCCAGGTCAGGCCACGAGGAGAATCCAAAAACACGAAGGAACCAGGAAACTGGAAAAAAGAGCAAAAGGTGAACAAATTCTTTTCACCTAGACATTTCTAGCTCAACAGTATTATACCATGAGAGGTGATATGCTCCAGCGTTGAATCACACCGGACTGCAGCCTTAAGTAGATGGAGAGGCTCATCAGGCTGATGGCCGCCAGGTGTTGGTAATCAGCGGCCATCAGCAAGGCAGGCTGCAGGCAGTGGGACCCTTACAGTACCCCCCCCCCCTCAAGAATCGCCACCTGGCGACCTGAGGCGCTTCTCGGGGTGGTCTGCAAAGAACCTGGAGATGAGACTGGGATCGAGGATGAAGGACCTGGGGATCCATGACCTCTCCTCAGGACCGTACCCCTCCCAATCGACCAGGTATTGGAAACCCCTACCCCTGCGTCGCACGTCCAAGATGGAACGGACTGTGAACGCAGGGTGGTTGTCGATCAGGCGGGGCGGCGGAGGGAGGTCAGACGGGGGACACAAGGGACTGAGGGAGACGGGCTTGACCTGGGAGACATGGAAGGTCGGGTGAATCCTCATGGCCCTGGGGAGTTGGAGACGGACCGCAGAGGGGTTAATAATGCTGGTAATGGGGAAGGGGCCAATGAAGCGGGGGACCAGCTTACGGGGGGTGTCCCGCAGTTTGATGTCCCTGGTGGACAACCAAACCTGCTGGCTGACCTGGTAGGCGGGTGTTGCTGAACGGTGGCGGTCCGCAAACCGTTTAGCCTGGGCCGCGGTCCTAAGGAGGGCCGCCTTGGCCTGGCGCCAGATGCGACGACACCGCCGGAAGTGGTGCTGCACAGACGGAACCGTGCAGTCGGACTCACAACTGGGGAAAAGAGGAGGATGGTACCTAAGGGAAGCCTCGAAGGGGGACATACCGGTAGCAGAGGAACGGTGGGAGTTGTGGGCGTATTCCACCCAAACCAGATTTTGACTCCACGATGAGGGGTTGGACTCGACCAGGCAACGCAGGGTGGACTCCAACTCCTGATTGCAGCGCTCAGCTTGTCCGTTAGCCTGAGGATGGTAGCCGGAGGTAAGGCTAACGGACGCCCCGAGCGACTTGCAAAAGGAATGCCACACCTGGGAGACAAACTGCGGGCCTCGGTCCGAGACGATGTCCGAAGGGATACCATGGAGTCTAAAAACATGGAGGGTGAGGAGGTGGGCGGTTTCCAGGGCAGAGGGGAGCTTAGGGAGGGGAACAAAATGAGCGGCCTTCAAAAAACGGTCAACAATGGTGAGGATGGTCTTGTTGCCGTCAGACGGGGGAAGGCCGGTTACAAAATCGAGGGAGATGTGGGACATGGGGCGACTAGGGGTTGGGAGGAGAAGCCAGGGGCCAGCCGGAGGTTGGGTACCGGACTTGTTTCTGGCACAGACGGGACAGGCCGAAACAAAGTCTCTAATGTCACTGGTCATGGATGGCCACCAGAAATGAGTCCTCGTGAGGGCAAGCATGCGGTTCACTCCAGGGTGGCAAGAGAGCTTGTTGGTGTGAAGCCACTGGAGCACCTCAGACCGCACGCTGGAGGGAACAAAGAGGGTACCGGGAGGACCACCACCAGGATCGGGTTCAGCGAGGAGGGCCTGTTGAACGGTGGCGATGATGGGCCAAGAGAGGGAGCCAACAATACATGAGGACGGAATAATAGGATTAGAGACCTCGGGCGAATCAGGAGGAGCAAACTGCCTGGAAAGAGCATCAGGCTTAATGTTTTTTGAGCCAGGACGTAAAGTCAAAACAAAATTAAAGTGATTAAAGAAAAGCGACCAACGGGCCTGACGGGGGGTCAGACGCTTGGCGTTCCTCAGATAAATTAAATTCTTATGGTCTGTCCAAATCAAAAAAGGGGTCTCAGTGCCTTCTAGCCAGTGTCGCCATTCCTCTAATGTGAGCTTGACTGCCAACAGCTTGCGGTTGCCCACGTCGTAGTTGCGTTCTGCTTGGGAGAGACGCCGAGAGAAGAAGGCGCAGGGATGGACCTTATTGTCCTGAGGAGATTGCTGGGAAAGGACCGCTCCTACCCCAGTGTCGGAGGCGTCCACCTCCAAGATGAACTGGTGCATAGGGTCTGGATGGCAAAGGATGGGCGCGGAGGAAAAGAGAGACTTGAATCTTGTAAAGGCGGTCTCGGCCTCTAGGGTTCAATGAAAGGCACGGGCAGTAGAGGTGAGCTGAGACAGGGGGACGGCGACACGGCTGTAATTTTTAATAAATCGCCAATAGAAATTTGCAAAGCCCAGGAAGCGTTGTAACTGCTTCCTGGACTCGGGGGTCGGCCAGTCGACAACCGCCCTGGTCTTCTCGGGATCGGTTCGGCAACGACCTCCCTCAAAAATGAAACCAAGAAACGAGACAGTGGAGGTGTTAAACTCACACTTCTCTGCTTTGACAAATAACTGGTTCTCCAGCAGCCGCTGGAGGACTGTACGAACGTGGGCCGTGTGTTGAGTGGGGTCGCGGGAATAAATAAGGATGTCATCAAGATATACAAACACAAAATTACCAATGAAATCGCGCAAAACATCATTAACGAGCGCCTGAAAAACAGCGGGGCATTGGTCAACCCAAAAGGCACAACTAAGTACTCGAAATGGCCCAAAGGGGTGCGAAAAGCTGTTTTCCACTCGTCGCCCTCTTTAATACGGACGAGGTGGTACGTGTTTCGCAAATCGAGTTTGGAAAAACAGGAGGCCGACTGTAATTGTTCTTGTAAAGAATCAATGAGAGGAAGAGGATATTTATTTTTATTAGTTATATTGTTTAAACCGCGATAGTCAATACATGGCCGGAGTGATTTATCTTTTTTGGAAACGAAGAAAAAGCCAGCTCCCACAGGGGAGGTCGAAGGTCTAATAATGCCAAAGGCAAGAGACTCATTAATATAATTGGACATAGATTCTCTTTCAGGACCAGAAAGGTTGTAAAGTTTACTTGACGGCAAGGGGGCGCCAGGTAACAAGTCAATCGAGCAGTCATAGGGACGGTGAGGTGGAAGAGACAAAGCGCGCTGCTTGCTGAAAACAGCCGCCAGGTCGCGGTATTCAGCAGGAACCGAGGTGAGGTCGATCTCCTCTAGAGGAGGCGCGTTCCGAGGGAACTCTTTAATGGCGGAGCGAAGACAGTTGCTGAGACACTTGTCGCTCCATTTATCAACGCAGCCGCACTCCCAGTTAATTACTGGATTGTGATTTCGAAGCCAGGGGAAACCTAAAATTACTTGGGGGGTACGAGAATTAAATATAAAGAAATCAGTCATCTCATGATGATTTCCTGAAATAATAACATGTAACTCGGTAGTCTTTAATTTAATACGGGTCAGAGTGTCTCCGGTTAAGCCAGAGACAGAAATCGAAGGGATCTCGCGAGTAGGTAATGAATATTCTTTAACTAAGTCAGCGCTGATCAAGTTCTGTTCAGCACCTGAATCGATGAGAGCTGAAAACGAAAAGCGACGATTATGTGTCTGAATGACCATGGGAAGTAATGGTTTGAATGGGGAGGTTAACGCAGACGTTCCCACCAGTAACTCCCGCTTTACTGGTGGAAGTTCTCGTTTCCCCGAAACGGACAGTGGGGCAGAAAATGACCGGGATTACCACAATAAATGCAGAGACGGGCAGATACACGCCGCTGTCTCTCTGCAGGAGTCAGCCGTGCGCGCCCCACCTGCATAGGCTCAGGGGAGCGATCCCGTGAGGGAAAAGAAGATGATTGGCTGTGACCAGGAAGCATGGAAGACTGGGAGTTGTAGTTCACAGGGGATTGTTTTGGTGAATCGGACTCATAGCGAAGGGTCGTAAACCCGGAAGTGGGAGGATTATGGGATACGTAGTGCTGAGGTGCAGACTTGGGCTCACCTGGAGGAGTCGGAAACCCGGAAGTTGAGGGTCGATGGGAATTGTAGTTTGCCTCTCTCCTTCTCTCCCGGAAACGGTCATCGATTGAGATGGCAAGGTCTATCAGTTTGTCGAAAGTTTCGGGTTCATCTCGCGTGGCCAGCTGGTCTTTGAGAAAATCGGACAGAGCATTATGGAAAATACCTTGGAGGGCGGGCTCGTCCCATCCTGTTTGGGCAGCAAGGATCCGCAACTCCAGAGCGAACTCTGAGGCATTACGACGGCCCTGTTGTAAATTCAACAACCGCTTGGCGGCATTTGATGTCTGCAGGGGACGGTCAAAAATCCTGCGAAACTCTCGAAGGAAAAGTTCATAGGAAGCAGGGGGGTTATCATGACCCAAGAGGAACGAGTGAGCCCACCGGAGAGCGCTACCTTTGAGTTGGCTTACGAAGAAGGTGATTTTGGCCGTGTCCGACGAGAACTGGGTGGGAGCCCCCTCGAAGGCAAGTCGGCACTGGAGCAAGAAGCCGCCACATTGATCAGGGTCTCCGGTGAAGAACTCAGATGGTTTAACGAATATTTGTTGAACAGGAGGAGTGGGACCAAGAGCCACGGGGGCTTGCGGAACGACTGGAGCTGAGGAGGTGAGCTGGTCCTTCAGTCCAAGGAGTGAGCAGCAGAGGGAAATCCAACAGGGGTCCAAAAGGAAACGAGGAAGGCTGGCAACTGGAGGCAAAGAGACACGAGGTAAACCTGACAGGCCGAGGGATCCAGGTCAGGCCACGAGGAGAATCCAAAAACATGAAGGAACCAGGAAACTGGAAAAAAGAGCAAAAGGTGAACAAATTCTTTTCACTTAGACATTTCTAGCTCAACAGTACTATACCATGAGAGGTGATATGCTCCAGCGTTGAATCACACCGGACTGCAGCCTTAAGTAGATGGAGAGGCTCATCAGGCTGATGGCCGCCAGGTGTTGGTAATCAGCGGCCATCAGCAAGGCAGGCTGCAGGCAGTGGGACCCTTACAGTTGTTGTTTTGCTTTGTTTTGTTTTTTGAAGGTCCAGAGGACCAGACTTAACTTTTTTAGATTTTTCTACCTTGATTATTGAGCATTCATCAGGATATATTAATTATAATTAAAGGTAAAACACAATATGAGACATTCAAATAAAAGAGAGGTTATTACAATAATCATACATTAGGCGTTGGGTTCAAGGTGTTCCATTTCTTCTAATATTTATTGTATTTATCAGCAGCAAGTCTTAATGAAAAATTCAGTCTCTCCGTTGCATGTATTTCCTTAATTATTTCCTTCCATTCCAGTCAAGTCAAGTCAGATTTATTTATAGGGCACATTTAAAACAGAAACTGTTACCAAAGTGCTTAACAAAAAGATCACAGCATCAAATAAACAGTAGCAAGATATATTTACAGCACATGGAATAAAAATATAAAACACAAAACCTAATTAGAAACATCCTGATGCATGCTCAATAATCCAGGTAGAAAAATCCAAAAAAGTTCAATCTGGTCCTCTGGACATTCCAGTCCGGTTTGAGTTCACCCTCCCCCATCTAACTCCTAAGCCGTGCGTTCCTTCACGTCGCAGCCGGACCATTAACCACTTCACTGCCACACGTTTCACAGATGTTTATAATTCTGAAATGATCATTCAGCCCCTGGTGTTTCTCACCACCACTGAGGAGCTGACATCCCAGTTCAACTCTGTTTGCTTAAAGACTCTGGATCATGTTGCTCCTGTTAAAACTAGAAAATCAAAACTCAGAGCAGAACCTTGACTGATTGACGTCACCAAGGCTGTTAGGCAGCAATGTAGGAGGGCGGAGCGCAAATGGAGGAAAGACAGGCTGCAGGTCTCTTTTCAAATACTTAGAGAGTTGGCGCTGTTATGAGAAAACAGTGAAAGCTGCTAAATCCAAATACTTTTCTGATATAATTACCTCAAACTCTCACAACCCTCGTGTTTTCTTCTCTACCCTAAACTCTGTTCTCCACCTCACTGAACCATCACCTCTGGAAGCTTCAACTGAGCTGTGCGACAACTTCTTACATTTATTTTTAGAAAAAAATTGCGACCACCCGGGCTCTCATTTCCCCTCCAACTCATGACCCATCCATCCCACCTCAATCTGTAGCTCATTTTGACCATTTTGAACCCATCACTCTATCTTCTCTAGAGCAGGTCATGTGCAGCTTGAAACCATCTGGTTCTCCCTTTGATGTGGTCCCCCCTCAACTACTTAAGGAGGTTTTTCCTACTCTAGGTCCGTCCATTCTGGCTATAGTAAACAGTCGTTTATCCACTGGCATGGTGCCAAAAACCTTTAAACATGCCGCTGTCCAGCCTCTCCTGAAAAAACCAAACCTTGACCCCTCAGTCGTTTCCAACTACCGGCCTGTCTCCAAACTCCCATTTGTTTCTAAAATACTGGAGAAAACAGTTGAGTCCCAGTTGAAGTGCTTCCTGGAAGGTCACACCATCTTAGAGCTATTCCAATCTGGCTTTAAACCTCTCCACAGTACTGAAACTGCCCTGCTGAAGGTCTTTAACGACATTTTCAGATCCACAGATACTGGTGATTCTGTGCTGCTTGTCCTGTTGGACCTCACAGCCGCCTTTGACACCGTCGACCGTGAGATCCTCATTGCTAGGTTGGAGCAGTGGGTGGGCATCACAGGGTCAGCCCTCAATTGATTCAGATCTTACCTCGCTGACAGATCCTTTTGTGTCTCTATCAAGGATTTTAGTTCTGCAGCGGCAGAGCTTAAATGGGGAGTTCCACAGAGGTCCATCCTGGGTCCCCTCCTATTCTCTTTATACCTGCTGCCACTTAGTGCTATTTACGGAAACACAACATACCCTTTCACTTCTACGCCGATGACTGTCAAATTTACTTCCCCCTAAGACACAATTGTACATACTCTATTCAACCTCTGCTCGACTGCCTGGCTGACATCAGGGACTGGATGGCTTTAAATTTCTTAAGTTTCAATGAAAAGAAGTCTGAAGTCATGTTGTTCCCTCCTAACGACACGATCACAAACCACTACATCGACCTCTTCGCTCTAACCCTGTCAGAAAAACAAAGAGTCACTAATCTGGGCGTGATAATGGACCCTTCCCTGAAATTTAACGATCATGTAAACATGATCGTTAAATCATGTTTCTTCCAACTGAGGCGGCTGTCTAAACTGAAGCCCATATTGTCCAAAAATAACCTGGAGACAGTAATACATGCATTCATTACATCTAGGCTTGATTACTGCAATTCGCTCCTGTTTGGTATCAGTCAGACCTCCATTGCACGACTGCAACTGGTTCAGAATGCAGCAGCCCGGTTTTTAACCAGTACAGGCAAAAGAGAGCACATTACTCCAGTTTTGGCCTCACTGCACTGGTTACCGTTTCACCTTCGAATCCCGTTCAAAATACTCCTGTATGTCTACAAATCGCTGAACAGTACCCCCCCCCCCCAATCTCTCTGATCTGCTACAACTATATGTCCCACCATGCCCCCTGAGGTCAGCGGACCAGTTGCTCCTCACAGTTCAAGGAACTCGTCTTAAGCGCAGAGGTGACAGGGCCTTCTATGTAGCAGGACCAAGACTTTGGAACGAGTTACCTCTGCTTGTCAGACTGGCCCCCTCCCTCTCGGTTTTCAAGTCCCGTTTCAAAACCCACTACTATTCAGCAGCTTTCAACACCAGATGATCTGTGTTTTGATCCTGTATGCTCCACACTGGTTAGTCGTCATTATCTGCATCGTTTTTATGTCTATATTCTGATTTACCTCATTTTGTATTTTGCTTTGTGTGTTACCTGTTGTTCTGTCTGTACAGCACTTTGGTTGGCCTTGTAGCTGTTTTAAGTGCTCTATAAATAAAATGGTATGCTATGGTACATCACTGTCATTTGAACTAACTTTTCTGTTTTTCATTTTGTTGTGTTTTTTATTCTCCCGTTAGATCACTCTGGTCATTTTTCTCCCACAGGAACATGCTGCTCACAGCAGTAGCCTCTCAGAGTCAGAGTCAGAGTTTCTTTATTGTCATTCGCACCTCATGTGGTACATGTGGTGGAGCGAAATTATGTACACAGGGTCCCAGTTACATCCAACAATAAAATGTATAAGAAAAACAGTAACAACATCTAAGATATGAACATAAAAACATTGAACATCAGCACAAACATGAACATGAGTCTGTGTACATGATGAGTCTCTCATCCAGTTGTTGTGCGTCTGCGATGCTTTTATCTAAACGTAGACGACCACACCTCCTCTCACCCCTCCTGCTCTCTTCCATTTCAAACAGGTTCATCTGACGGAGGAGCTGGCTTTGTCCACAGCGCGAGTGTCCCAGCTGCAGCTGGAAGCTACAGCTCATCAGATGAAAGCTGCAGAGCTGCAAAATATACTTAGCTCAGCACTGCAAGACAGTGAGAGCCATGGACAACACACTGCTGTCCTGGAAACACAGCTGGAAGGTTTGGAAAACTCTGAACTTTGATCATATCATGTCACATTTTTCATCTCTGTTTAAAAGACTTATTTCTTTAGGATCCCTTCACCTATGAAGTCATGAGCTTTAGCTCACTGAGCTACGACTGTTGGAGACTCAAAATTACATGAAATTGCTTTTTTTTTGTAGTCTCAATAAATTTAAGTGTTTGTGAGCAAGTGAACAGTGAGTCTCACTGTTTTTGGTTTTTGAAAATTACGTTCCATTGTCATGTACACGGGCAGCACGGTGGCGCAACTGGTAGAGCTGCTGCCTCTCAGCGAGCAGGTCCCTGGTTCAAACCCCGGTCCAGGGGCCTTTCTGGGTGGAGTTTGCATGTTCTCTCCGTGCATGCGTGGGTTTTCTCCGGGTACTCCGGTTTCCTCCCAAAGTCCAAAAACATGCATGTTAGGCTGATTGGTAACTCTAAATTGTCCCTAGGTGTGAGTGAGAGAGTGAATGGTTGTTTGTCTCGTTTGTCTCTATGTGGCCCTGTGATGGACTTGCGACCCGTCCAGGGTGTACCCCGCCCCTCGCACAGTGATTGCTGGACATGGGCACCAGCGACCCCCGTGACCCAAAAATGGAATAAGCGGGTAAAGAAAATGGATGGATGGATGGATGTCATGTACACGCCTTTGTGAACCATATACTAGACCATACTGTATAATGATGACACTGGATGCTATGTGCTCTAGTTCTGAACATCTTTTTATTTCTCCCCCGGGAACATGTACAGTACCAACATACTGTGCCGAAAGGCTTTATAGGAACAGTTGTCCTACTACTACACCACCTCCTTTAAGTTAAATTTATCTCTTTTTTTTATAAACATTTCTCCTCTTCTATGAGTTATAATTAACTGATTGAATACTTTCATTTGAACGTTCTCTTTTGCTTTTTTAATTTTAATTTTAATTTTATCAGGACCTCTGAACAAGTTTACCTGAACTTATGTTATTCTTAACTTCATGTTCACAAGTCCATCCTCTCAGGTGGCTTCAAAACTCGACCCAACCTGGTAACTGTCCCTGTAGGCCTAAGGTGACTTCTGTTTCTCCTCAGAAGACCCCTGTCAGTCTCAATCACATACGATCTTGGGGTGTGGGCAGGCCTAATTACTGCACCAGTATTCCCCTCGGTGGTATCCAGACTTTCTGTCCTGAGATGAGCTTTGGAAGAGGTTTAGAGCGATGTCTGTTGTTGTAGTGCATTGTCTGCCTTTGCCTTCCTTCCTCATCCTTCTTGCGAAAAATCTGAAGATCCGGCCACTGTGTGTTAAGCTTCCCTGTGTGTTGAGGTAGGGAGGTGCGTAGGTTTCTTCCCATCAGCAGCTGAGCTGGTGAAAACCCATGCTCCAGCAGAGTGGCTCTGTATGCCAGCAGTCCTTAGCTGTGATCGCTGTCTTTTTATCCACAAGTCCTTGATGGTTTGAACCACATTTTCCGCTTCTCCATTGGCTTGAGGGTAACATGGACTATTTATGATCATTGTGAACTGGTAGTCCTTTAACTGTCTGAACAGTTCAGAAGAAAACAGCAGTCCATTTTCTGTGACCACAGTCTCTGGTGTTCCATGTCTTGCAAAGACCTCTTTAACAGCGTGGATGGTAACTCCAGCAATAGTGTATCTGAGCTCTGATATCTCAATACAGTAGTCCCTCGTTTATCATGGGGGATCCGTACCCTGAAGCCCTGCGATAAGTGAAAAACTGTGAATTAGGAATAGTTTACAAGTAGTAAGTAGTAGTTTATTTTAGTATTTATATATCCATCCATCCATTTTCTTCTGCTTATCCGGGGTCAGGTCGTGAGGGTAGCAGCTTAAGTAGGGAGGCCCAGACTTCCCTCTCCCCAGCCACTTGGGCCAGCTCCTCCGGGGGAATCCCAAGGTGTTCCCAGGCCAGCTGAGAAACATAGTCCCTCCAGCGTGTCCTGGGTTTCCTCCCGGTGGGATGTGTCTGGCACGCCTCACCTGGGAGGCATCCAGGAGGCATCCTAACCAGATGCCCGAGCCACCTCAACTGGCTCCTCTCGATGTGGAGAAGCAGTGGCTCTACTCTGAGTTCCTCCCAGATGACCAAGCTTCTCACCCTATCTCTAAGGGAGACACCTTGTGGAGAAAACTCATTTCGATCTCGTTCTTTCGGTCACAGCCCAAAGCTCTTGACCATAGATGAGGGTAGGAATGTAGATCGATCGGTAAATTGAGAGCTTCGCCTTTTGACTCAGCTTTCTCTTCACCACGACAGACCGGTACAGTGTCCGCTTCACTGCAGACTCCGCACTTATCTGCCTATCGATTTCCTGTTCCATTTTTCCCTCATTCGTGAACAAGACCCCAAGATACTTGAACTCCTCTACTTGAGGCAGGACCTCCTCCTCGATCCGGAGAGGGCACTCTACCCTTTTCCAGCTCAAGCCCATGGCCTCTGCTTTAGAGGAACTGATCCTCATCCCGGCTGCATCACACTCAAGTCAAGTCAAGTCACATTTATTTATATAGCACATTTAAAACAGTAACTGTTATCAAAGTGCTTACCAAAAAAGATCACAGCATCAAATATTAATAACAAGATATTACAGCAACATGAATAAAAGCATAAAAACATTAAATATAATGAGAAATAATGATATACTAAATCAAATCACCATGTGTTAAATGTCAGGGAGTTAAAGAAAATGGATGAACACAATCATCAACATTGAAATATCAAATGAGATCACACTGTGTTAAATGCCAATGAGTACAGGTGTGTTTTGAAGATAGATTTAAAAGTAGAGACTGAGGTGGCCTGTTGAATGTTGATGGGCAGATTATTCCAGAGCTTAGGGCCCATGACTGAAAATACCCTATCTCCTCTGAGCTTCAGCTGGTTTTTGGTACGGCCAAAAGCAGCTGGTCTGAAGATCTTAAGGCCCAAGAAGGAGTATAAGGATGAAGGAGGTCGGAGAGGTATGATGGTGCAAGGCTATTAACACACTTAAATGTCAGCAGAAGAATCTTAAAATCAATTCTGACATGCACAGGAAGCCAGTGAAGAGAGGACAGAACTGGAGTAATGTGCTCAAACCTGCGAGTTCCTGTTAGTAGCCAAACTGCAGCATTTTGGACAAGCTGGAGACGTGAGAGAGAGACCTGACTGACCCCAGCATAAAGCGAGTTACAGTAGTCCAGCCGGGTTGTAATAAATGCATGGACAAATTTTTCAAGCTCGGATCTGGACAAGACAGATGAGCTTAGCTATCTGCCTTAGCTGAAATAAGCTTTTTTGAAGAACAGAATTTATCTGCTTATTAAACTTAAAGTCCGAGTCTAAAACTATCCCGAGATTGGTAACTGACTGTTTTAGATATGGCTGAAGGGAGTCCAGGTTTGCAGGATCAGTGACAGTGGCAGAGCTAGGGTTAAACACAATGACCTCAGTCTTATGATCATTAAAACTCAAAAAGTTTGTAGCCATCCAAGTCTTGATGTCAAGACATTTTAACAAAGGGCGAATGGAAGAGGAACTGTTAGGTGTTAACGGCAGATAAATCTGAGAGTCATCAGCATAACAATGAAAGGAAAGACCATGTTTCCTCAGGACAGACCCTAAGGGGAGGAGATACAAAGAAAACAGAAGGGATCCAAAAATAGAGCCTTGCGGGACCCCGCAGGAAAGAGGCACTGAAGTAGATAGAGTGTTAGCAAAATTAACACAGAAACTCCTGTCGCTCAGGTATGAGCGGAACCATTCTAACGCTGCACCAGTAATCCCAACCCAGTGTTCTAGCCGGGATAAAAGGATACTGTGGTCCACAGTATCAAATGCAGCGGTAAGGTCAAGGAGTACCAGGACTACAGACTGACCAGAGTCATTTGCCAGAAGAATGTTGTTGCAGACCCTAACTAAGGCTGTTTCGGTGCTGTGTAGTTTCTTAAAGCCAGACTGAAAGATCTCAAGAATAGAATTTCCACTCAAGAACTCGTTTAATTGAGTGAAAACTATTTTTTCCAGGATCTTAGAAAGAAAGGGAAGTTTGGAGATGGGTCTGAATTTGAGCAGGTTGAAGGGTCAAGTCCGCATTTTTTTATTAAAGGAGTTACCTCAACGGCGAGCCGCTTCAGTGAAAGTTGTAGATCACAACCTAATGAAGCCAATAGGACCACATCATCTGCAAAAGCAGAGACGCGATCCTAAGGTCACCAAAACAGATCCCCTCAACACCTTGGCTGCGCCTAGAAATTCTGTCCATAAAAGTTATGAACAAAATCAGTGACAAAGGGCAACCTTGGCAGAGTCCAACTCTCACCAGGAACGAGCCCGACTTACTGCCAACAATGCGGACCAAGCTCTGACACCGGTCATCTAGGGACCTAACAGCCTGTATCAAAGGGCCTGGTACCCCATACTCCCGGAATACCTCCCACAGGCTCCCCCGAGGGGCACGGTCGAATGCCTTCTCCAAGTCCACAAAGCACATGTAGACTGGTTAGGCAAACTCCCACGCACCCTCCAGGACCATGCTGAGGGTGTAGAGCTAGTCCAGTGTTCCACGACAGGACGAAAACTGCACTGCTCCTCCTGAATCCAAGGTTCGACTATCCGATGGACCCTCCTTTCCAGAACCCCTGAATACACCTTATCAGAGAGGCTTAAGAGCGTGATCCCCCTGTAATTGGATCACACTCTACAGTTCCCCATTTTGAATAGGGGGACCACCACCCCGGTCTGCCAATCCAGGGGAACTGCCCCCGATGTCCACACAATAGTGCAGAGCTTTAACTCCCACCTCTGGGAGAGCTTCAAACACATTCCAGGGGAGGTTGGGGACATGGAGTCCGAGTGGGCCATATTCTGCGCCTCTATTGTGTAGGCGGCTTATCAGAGCTGTGTCCGTAAAGTTATCGGTGCCTGTTGCAGCAGTAACCCTCGAACCCGGTGGTGGACACCCGTGGTGAGGGATGCTATCAGGCTGAAGAAGGAGTCCTATCGAGCCTTTT